TACCCCAGCCCCCAAGAGTCAGGCTCAGGGCAGCCACCTTGGGGCTGATGTCACAGCCGGCCTCCCGCCAGCTCCGGAGTCTGTTTTCATTCCTGCTCCATGAGAGGGGAATAATTAATGAGAAACAGAGAGGGCCAGGGAGGGAGTGCGGAGGGACAGGGCCCTGCGCCTGTCAGCCCGGCCAGCCCGGCCCCGCATCCCTGGAACCCTACACCGTTCTCCTGACAAGGGCCGTCAGCACGAGGGCTGCCTCCTCCTCCCTGACCCGTGCTGGAGAAGGGAGGCAGAGCCCCGGGGACCCTGTCTGTCGAGTCCTGAGTCCCTTCCTTGGGGATGGGTCACCCGGGACGGGCCCAGGAAGGATCACCAAATGCCACGTTTCAGTTCCCCTAGCTCTTCTTCCTAGGCATCCTGACACCGAACCTAGACTCCAAGCTGGACTTGGCCTCGCAGGTGGGCTCCGGGACCAGGGCTAAGCCACTAGCTGCTCCATAAACATGCGGGGACTCCATCATGGCCACCGGTCAGACTCGTGAGGAGGCAAATCGGGGCTCAAGGGTGGCCCTCGGTGACGAGAAGAGGATGTGCTCAGGCACAGGTGGACAGCTATAAAGAAGGGAAGACTTGGCCAATGGCTGTGTATCGTGACTCTATTCTTTCCTCTTCCTCTGGAGTGGCCCCTGGGCCCCTATACAATCCTGCTCTTATCTGCCCCAGGACCTTGGCACATACTCTTCCTGTCTCCCTTCTCATCAACAGCTCAGTGGCTCCAAGGCTCAGCCCTCAACACCTCTGATTCTTCTTTGAATTCACAGCCTGTGTCCCTTCCTTCCAGCACCTGGCACTTACCCAGGCCTAGCAGGTACCTTGCCACATTGTGCTGGTTGACCGCTCCTTCAGAGGTCCCCTCTGAGCCCTATGTAGGTCCAGGGAGTGGAATGGCCTCATGCTCATGCCCCATCTGTGCCTTAGACAGGGACTGGCCACAGCAGGGGCCAAGGGAGACGTGTTGCATAAGTCAGCTGGGGCTCCAACGCCAAAGGTTAAATGATAGAAGGATCCAGATGGTGACGGGGGTGGGCGTCCAGCTCCCTCTGCTGGGACTCAGATAACTGCTTAGAGGGTCCCTTAGTCAAGACCCCTGGCTCATGTCCCTAAGGCTGGCATTGGGTACCTCCACCCAATTTCACCTCAGTTTGAAATTGTGTACAGCTCTTTCTAAAACGACTGGCAGACGGACCATGTCCATGTTCATCTAAACTCGGAAGCAACGACAGTCGGTCCTTTCTCAAGACAGTGGTCCTGGGCCCCTCCCAGCACACACCTGATGTGTGAAAGAAAGTGAGTGTTGGCAGAAAGGCATCCTCCTCCGTCTGGCCCAGACCTTCATGCTAAGGGAGAAAGGCAGAAGCCCTGATCCCTCGCTGCTGGCTACCCCCTCGTCTCCTACAAGCCATCCAGGCCCTGGGCTAAACCTGGAGCAAAATGTTCAACATCCCCTTGGGTGCAAAGGCTTTGGTGGGTGTGCCCCTACTATGTGCCAATTAGGGCCCCTATTGGGTAGATGTGCCCCTACCGTGTGTTGATTAGGGCCCCTATTGAGTGGATGTGCCCCTACCATGTGCCAATTAGGGTCCCTATTGGGTGGATGTGCCCCTACCATGTGCCAATTAGGGCTCCTATTGGGTGGATGTGCCCCTACTATGTGCCAATTAGGGCCTCTATTGGGTAGATGTGCCCCTACCGTGTGTTGATTAGGGCCCCTATTGAGTGGATGTGCCCCCACCATGTGCCAATTAAGGTCCCTATTGGGTGGATGTGCCCCTACCATGTGCCAATTAGGGCTCCTATTGGGTGGATGTGCCCCTACTATGTGCCAAGCACCACTCAGTAACTTCCTATTAGTTCCTCTATGTATTGAGGGAGGGGAGAGGTGGTTTTGGAGTCATCCCCAGTGCTACTCGGGGCTTATTCTCGATTCTGTGCTCAGGGGACCATACTTGGTGCTGGGAATGAACCAGGGTCAGCCACAGGCAGGGCATGGAGTGCCGTAACCTCGGTGCTATCCTCTCCCTGGCCCTGTTTGTTGGTCTGTCTTATTCAGGTTTCATACAGGGAAACAGTAGCTGACATTCTGAACCCTTGCTCTGATCCCCATGCATTATGTGTCTGAACGGATCTTACATTTCTGAGTCTCAGGAGGTCAGAGTGATTGATTACACTCCACCTGCCCCAGGTCACAGCACAGGAAGCCGGGCTGGGACCCCCAGATTGGCCTGCTTTCCTCCCACCGCATGACCCTAAGTCACCCCAGATTCCCCAGGTTCTAAGTCAGGCTCGGGTCACCAGGCGCTCTCTCTCTCTCTCTCTCTCTCTCTCTCTCTCTCTCTCTCTCTGGGAAGGAGGGGGTCCTGGAGAAGAGCATGACGTCGAGACCTGAGCAGTGCCCAGCACTCCCTGCCTGCCCTGACACTGAGCTCAGGGGTGAGGGAGGAGGGTCATTTGGGACCACTGCTCTCCCTCTGGGGTAGTAGTGATCAAAACTGCCCCTTGAATGCCCCCCAATTCCCTCCCACTGGCTTCTCCTTTAAGCAGGAAAGAGAGATCTGATTCCTGGGCTAGCACCACATCATGTGGAACTAACCCTGATGAGCAGATTATTGACTTTACGCCCCTCTCCCCACTTTCTCTTCAGGCTTGTTTTGTTGTTGGGGGTGGGGAGCTATTGGGACCATCCCCTGAGTGACCTCAGGCCTATTATAAGCAAAGCGTGAGCTCACCCCTCTAAGCTGTTTTAGCCCCTCCCCTTCACCCTGGATTTGCCTCACTGGAGAGGCAAAAGACCCCTCCAGAGCACCTTTATTGTCCTGGTACCCTAACCTGCCCCCACCCCCTGGCCCTCTGTGCTGAGATACAGGTTAGGGAGCAAGGTGCCCAGAGAGAACAGCCTGGGGAGGGTCAGGGGAAGGTCGTGGCTTCATTCATTCCTTCTCTGCGTCCCTTCCCCCACCTGGGCTGAGTCTTAAGTTCTCAGACTGTTGGCTTGGGAGGCTTGCCCAAGGGAGGGTCTTGCACCCCAGGAAGTGTGAATCCCGGTAAGCCAGATAACTTGGGGACAAGGTGGGGGGGGTGGCTTTGCTAAGTGTCGGGTGCCCCTGTCTTGTCCCATGCAAGTGCATATATGCGGGGGCAGGGCGTGGGGCGCCGGGCCAGGTACACCCAGCAGTGTACCCTCAGCACCCCAGATCTGGGGGACACACAGTGTCGGTGGAAACCTCGGGGGCGGCCCCCATTTAACTTGGACCTCGGTGCAGTTCTCGGCCCACCCTCCCCGGGGCAGCGTGCCCGGTGCAACCAGCCCAATGCAGGCGGGATGCCCCTCGGACTCGCCCCACCCCGTAGCCCAGGAGTGGGGACTGGACCAGAGCAGGAGCCTGGAGCCCCTCTCCCCTTTATCTCAGGCCAGGAATGTGGCGCGGGCTGTGTGCGGGGCGCCCCTCCCGTGGTGGCCCAGCCCCCTCCCCTGAGGTAGCCCCTCTGACCCTCCCCCCGTCCTTCCCACAGCTCTGAGCCAGGGTGGAGGCAGCCACGGCCTTGTCTGGGGGGCCCCTAGGGATGGGGAAGGCCGAGCCCGCGGAACGCCTGCATCGCTGCATCCCTGCGGGGAGCCGGAGCCGCGCGCCCCGGAGCGCGCGCCCGAGCCAGCACCCCTGCCAGCTGCGACGCCGCATCTGAGCTGGACCGTCAGCTGCCATCGCCTTTAGGACCCTCTCCCGGGTTAGAGCCGGCAGGCTGAGACCCGTGGGGGCTTTGTCTGCGCCCTCCTGGGGGCTGCCAACAGGCCCCCAATGGAGAAACCCGGGAAACCTCTTCCGTCCCCGCAGTCCCCGCAGATATCTTGCGCAAGGGACCCTCCTAGTGCAGCTAGGAAAAGGATTGCCCCTGAGCAGCAATCGTCTGTTTCTGCATCCAGGGGCCCTCTGGGCCGCCCCCCCCCCCTCCCCATCCCGCCCCGCGTTCTCTCCTTTGACATTTTTAGAAGCTGTTTTCCTAACCCTCTCCCTGGTTCTTGTTATTTCTCCGCTGAGCCTTTGAAGTGTGCAGGCGGTCTGGGGTGGGAATCCCGGCAGACCTGAGGCTCACTTACTGGCTCAGTGACTTTGGGCAAGTTACTTAACCTCTCCCTTTCCTCCTCTGTGAAAAAAGACTAACCCCCCCCCCCCCAAAAAAAAAAACACACACACACACAACTTCCTGCTCTTTTGTCTGGGCTGTAGTGAGATTAAATAAGATCCGTGTATCAATGGAGCATTTCTGCCCAGTGCCTGGAGAAGCATGGTGAGCGCTCGTGGAAGAATCATCACACATCTGGGCTGATGACACCTCTGCACCCCGACTCTAATGGGTAATTAATTGTCCTCTTTGACCTTGACCGCGTGACCCTGGGAGCCAACCTCCTCTCTGGACCCTCAACTCCCACTGGAACAATGGGGACGGGAAAGGACTGTCCTGTCTAACCCCATCCAGTTTCCAGTCTTGCCCGAACCCCAGGAGCGCCCGGAGAGAGAATCTGAGAATAACAAGAGCAGCTCTGGGGCACTTGTTCTCTGTTGTGGTCACCCCAAGTTTGTCAAATGCAAGGAGGACCAAGCACAGAAGGGGATCTGGGCCTGGGCACATGGATAGTTGACTCTGGTTCGATTCCCCGGCACCCTATATGGTGCTCTGAGCACCACCAGGCATGCGCCCTGAGTGCAGAACCAGGAGTGAGCCCTGAGCACTGCTGGCTGAGGCTCCCCCCGCCCCTCCTCCCCGACCCCACCAAAAAATAACCCGAGGACTAGAGAATAGTGTTGAGGGCGGACGCCGCAGGACCATGGACAGGAAAGGAAAGCAGGGGTGTCATCATCTTATTGCCTTTATTCTGCTGAAGGCCCAGCCGGCCCCAAGGGCTCAGGGCCAAGCTTTGACACGCTCACCCATGCTCTCTGTGCAGGCCATACATGCCTCCGCACACGCGCACACACACTCCGACACGCTCGCATGCACGCACTCACACACATCCCGTCTCTGGCTCGGAGAGTCAGTCTCTGGGGGGTGGGGGGTGGGGAGACAAGGGGCTGCTCCTCGGAGGGCCCCTGCCGGCCCCTGTATGACAGCACCAAGGGCGGGGGGTGGGGCTGGGCCCTTGGCCCCCAGAACTAGTCCCTGTGCAAACTTGAAGGTGCCGGGTGGCTTCCTCGCATCACAGGGCGTCACATTTCCCTGTGGCCGGAGTCCCCTCCCCCAGTTCCTGAGGGAGGGACCAATCTCTGCCTACCTGGGGGGGACCAGATCCCTCCCAGGGCTGGGCCCGGTGGATCTGGGGCTTATTTCCCAGCTGCCCCTGCTGGGAACCCGGCACTGAACAGTCAAGTCTGACATGGTGGGGAACCCCCCACTGGAAAGCAGAAAGGCCTGGGCCCCGGGGGGCTCGGGGAGGGCTCATGCCCCCTCTCCTAATCCGTCTTCAATATGAAGAGGTTTGGGCCATACTGGCCTGGGAGGGAGCCCCGGCCTGGAGAAGTCCCCGCGGGGGCCTTCTCCAAATTTCCATCTTCTGGGCCACCAGCCTAACGGCCAGGCACCCAAAAGTCCTCGAGTCCAGCTGGCCGGTCGGTTCCTGCGCCGTCCTGGGGGGCAGGGAGTGGGGGGGGCACCCTCCCGGTGGGATTCAGGTGTCAGACCTGCACCGGCAGCGTCTGGTTCATCTGCAGCCGCATGTCCTGGATACTGCTCAGGATCTTCTTCTGGTGGCCCGCCAAGGTGACCCCGATCCGGAGCAGGTCCCTGCGAGGACCACCACAGGAGGGGCAGGGTGAACCTGTGTCTCCTGCCCGCACCCCCAGACTCTCCCCCTTCACCCCCGCCTGCCCTCCACTTACTCCGCCGTCATCTGGGCCACCAGATCAAAGGAGGCGAATCCAGCGCTGATGAAACTCTCCTTGTACCGCCCCATCTTGATGGCGTCCAGCCAGTCCCCCACCGTCGTGAAGGTCGTGTAATCGGGGACCGTGCGGTCCAGGAGGGGTTGGGACATGCTGCGGGGAGAAGGGAGGTGCCTGGTGAGCCCCCTCAGAGGCGGGAGGTGGCAGGGTTGGAGGGCGGGGCAGAGGCACTGACCCCGACTGGGCGCTGGCGATGACCTTGAGGCTGGCCGCGTTGCGGATAAGCTTGTCCAGGGTGTTGACGATCTGGGAGAACTTGGGCCTGAGGTTCCGGTCCCGCACCCAGCAGTCCAGCATGAGCTGGTGCAGGGCCGTGGGGCAGTCCATGGGTGGGGGCAGCCGGTAATCCTGCTCCACCGCATTGATGACCTAGGGCCGGGAGCAGGGCATGGCGGGGCTGAGTTAGGAGCCCCGCGCCACAGCCAGCCGACCGCCGCCCCACCCTGCACTGGGCCGGCCCCACTCACATCCTGGTTGGTCATGTCCCAGTACGGCCGTTCTCCGTAGCTCATCACCTCCCACATGACGATGCCGTAACTCCACACGTCACTGGCGGAGGTGAACTTGCGGTAGGCGATAGCCTCGGGGGCCGTCCAGCGGATGGGGATCTTCCCGCCCTGGTGGGGGGGGGCACAGGCCCTTCACCCTGCGACTCGGGGCTGGTCCCCGGCCCCCAGCCCCGGCCTGGCGGACCCCACCCCCCGGCGCCCAGCCAGCGGCTGCCTGTACCAGGGAGCTGGTGTAGGTGGGGTCCGAGGGGTCGTCCTCCAGGAAGCGCGAGAGGCCGAAGTCGGACACTTTGCACACCAGGTTGCTGTTGACCAGGATGTTGCGGGCCGCCAGGTCCCGGTGCACGTAGTTCATCTCGGACAGGTACTTCATGCCTGCCGCGATGCCCCTCAGCATGCCCACCAGCTGGATGACCGTGAACTGACCGTCGTTGAGCTGCAGCCGTGAGCAGAGAGGTTGAGCCCAGAACTCTCTCCCCTCTCTCCCCTTCCCACCTACCTACCCTCGCCAGGTCTGTCTTATGCCTGGGACCCTGCAGTGGGGGGGAAGGGGGGGGCGTGAGCCAGCCTCTGCAGTTAAGACCCCCGCAGCCCCCACCCATGTGGAACCCCCAAGGTCTCCCGCTCCCATTTTACAACAAAGACTCGGACACAGGGTGAACAGCCCAAGGCCACAGTGGGCAGAGACAGAAGGGCGAGTCATGCCCCTGCATCAGGCCGGCCCCTGGTGTGAATATTTCTGGATACCTCCCCGCTGGCCTGAACTGAGTCCCCGGGGTGAGAGGTCAGCTCTTACTCGGAGGAAGGAGTCCAGGGCGCAGTTCTCCATGAACTCGGTGAGGATCATGACTGGGCGGCTCTTGGTGACCACCCCCTCCAAGCGGATGATGTTGGGGTGGTCGAACTGGCCCATGATGGAGGCCTCGCTCAGGAAGTCCCTTCGCTGTCGCTCCGTGTACCCCACCTTCAGGGTCTTGATGGCCACAAAGACCTCCCGGCGGCCAGGCTGCTTCAGACGGCCCCGGCACACTTCCCCAAACTCCCCTGGAGGACACGAGGGGGGGGGGGGGCACAGGGTCTAAGTTCCTTCTTGTTTTGCTTTTGTTGGGGAGGGGGGGTAACAGCTTATTCTTGGCTCTGCACTCAGGAAATCACTCCTGGCAGTGCTCGGGGGACTGTACAAGATGCCGGGGATCACCTAGGTTGGCTGTGTGCAGGGCAAGTGCCCGACTTGCTGGACTATTGCTCCAGCCCCCATCGAAGTCCTTTCCAGGATCTGCCCCTGCTCCCTGTGGCCAGCGCCCCCCACCTCTGGGCCCATCCCCAGGTGGGCTGCCTGCACTCTTGGTGTCGAAGGACTCACCTGCTCCAATCACCTCCTCGATCTTGACACAGGACACGTCGATCTCCTTGGCGAACTCGCGCACGGCCTCGTTGGGGTCCTCATAGGTGAATGGGTCGATATACACCTTCATTCCAGGGGCAACTGGAGAAAGTAGAGGTGAGCCTGAGAGGTGGAGCCTCCCAGAACTGGGGACATGAAGGGACCGCCCTGGAGACACGTCCCCACAGTGGGCCTGCTCTGCCCCTGCCCCCCACTGGGGCTGTCAGTCCATGAGAACGCTTGTGACCATAAAGGTTGCCCGCCTCGGTTCTTACTCTCCTTTCTCCCTCGTCTCTCATCGCGTCCAAACACTCTTTCAAACTCCCTCGTTCCCACTGCCCCTGACCTTGTCCAGGCCTTCAACACTCAGACTATTGCAAGAGCCTCCGGGCTGGGCTCTGTGCCGCCGGCCTTTTCCCACCCATCTCTGCTGCATACCTGTCTCCCCAAAACAATGCCCACATTGTGCTCCCCCAAGGGCCCTGCGGATTACCGATGGCGGAGTCAAGTCCACACGCCTCTGCCTGCCTCCCTCGACCCTCCTCGGACTGGCCGCGACTGCCCAGCCCGGCTTCCCGGGAGCTGGCAGACCCACCTTCTCACTGCCCCCACAGCCAGGCTCTCTCCCCACCCCACCCTTGACCTGCCAGTGGCTCTTCAAGCCAGGAATGCTCTCCCCCACCCTCCCAACCCTGCTCGTCCATCCCGCCAGGCTCAGGCTTGGCGCGGGGCTGGCCGCCGCCACCTCCAGGAAGCCTTCCTCTTCTCTGAACTCTCCGTACCCTCGCTAACAGGCACATGGAGCTTAGTACCTAACTGCGCCCTCATGACTTCCTGTGTGCACATATCTTGCCTCTCTCTGAGGATGAACTGCCTGGGAGGATCAGGAATGCAAAGGCAGGGGAAGGTGTTCCCGGCCCCCTCCCCCCCATCCCACCGCGAGCGGGCATATGGGGATGAACTCACTGTACTGCTGGAGCTTCTCTGTGTACTCGGAATCTGCGGTGTGTCGCTGCTTCCTGCGGGGGAGGGAGGAAGGGAGGCCTGAGGAAAGCCCGGCAGCCCCCCGAGTTCAAGGGAGCACCCCATCCCGCAATGGCCTGGTGTCTGGTCCCATGGCTGGCGGGGACGGCACCCCTTGGGCCCTGGGTCGGGGAGTGGACACAGGCCTAGACTGCAGGGGCCTTTCCCAACAGACGATGGTTTAGGAGTGCAGAGCCAAGTGGGGCAGTGGCAGATGGGGACGACTACGGGGCATCGGGGCTCAGCAGTGCCCGTGGAGAGCGCCACCCGGGCCAGTCCCCACAAGCCTGGGGGTACCTGAGGCAGACAACAGCGATGACCACAACAGCCGCCACAAACACCAGCCCCGCCATGGCAGAGCCCACGATGAGGGGAAGCTGCTCCTGCAGCTGCTGGGCCCCGGAGCCTGGAGGGGGGAGGCAGCGTGGTGAGGGCCCTGGGGGCAGGGCAGCAAGGCTGGGGTGCAGGGCTCGGAGTTGGGGCCCCAGGGCAGGGTAGCAGGGCTGGGGTGCAGGGCCGGGTACCTCTCTCGCTGGTGGTCTCGAACTCTGCAGGGTGGCTGTACTGCCCGTAGCCGGCCACCGTGCGGGCGCGGACCTGCACCACGTAGCGCGCCTCGGGCCGCAGTCCGTCCAGCTGCACAGAGTTCTTCTGGCTGGTCACCGTGGACGCAATGCCCTCGCTCTGCCGCCGGGGCGAGATAAGGGGGCGTGTCAGGGGTGCTGCTGGGGTCCCACCCACCCCCCCCACAAGTGTTCGCAGGAGCCCCTGCCTCTCACCTTCTCAAAGTATTTCATCTCGTAGTCCAGGATGACGCCGTTAGGCCGCTCGGGGGGCGCCCAGGACAGGGTCAGGCTGCTGCCCGTGCTGCTGTGCAGGTGCAAAGTGGGCACCTCGGACGGGGCTGGGGGAAGAGATGGGGCACTCAGCACAGGCTCCGGGGGGGGGGGGGGGCCCTCTGGCTGTGGGGAGCTGGCCCCGCCCCAGCCAGCTGGCCCTGCCCGGGCCCCGCCCCCAGACCGCTGGCCTGGCCCCGCCCCGGGCCCCAGCCCCCGCCCCCAGGACCGCTGGCCCCGCCCCCAGGGGCTGTCCTCACCGGCCTGGTTGGTGGTGATGTTGACCGCGGCGTAGCGGGGTGGCAGGGGGCTCTTGCCCGACACTCCGTTGACGGCCTGCACCTCGAAGGTGTAGCGCGTGTGGGCCAGCAGGTGGCTGACGTGGACGCGCCGCTCGGTCAGGCCCAGCTGCCGGGGCACGAACTCCACGTTGTCGTCGCAGCGGGAGCAGGAGGGCGTCCCCCCGGGCCCCCCGCGGCACTTCTTGCAGATGACGTTGTAGAGGAGGTCGTCCCGGCCCCCCAGGTCGCGGGGCTCGCTCCACTCGAGGATCAGCGAGGTCTCGTTCACATTGGAGATGACGCCCCGCGGTGGGGAGGGCACGGCTGTGGGAGGGGGGAGGCGGGGAGGGGACGGGGCGTTAGGGCCTGGGGGCACCCTGAGTGCTGCGGGGTGGGGGGGGGGCAGCCCTGCTTCAGGTCTCACGGCCCCGCAGGTGGGGAGGGGTGGCCACACAGTGCTGGCCAGGCACCTGCTTCAGCCGTCCCCACCCCCACCCGGCAGTGCTCAGGGATCACTCCTGGTGGGGCTTGGAGACCAGGGACTGAACGTGGGTCGGCGGCCACGTTCAAAGCAAACGCCTTCCCCACTGTACGATGGCCCCGGCCCTGCTCCAGGCCTTGCAGCTCTCTCCCTGCTGGGGCCGGACCACCCTTTTGGCCCCAGTCAGCCTCCTCCCTCCTGTGCTGCCCTTCACAGGTGGATTCCAGGCTTTGCCAGAGATCTCACCTCCTCCGGGAAGCTTCCTTCATTCACCTGCTCTCTGACCCCTAATCTCCCACAGGCAACTCCTGGGTCTCGCCTGCCAGCAGCGCTGGGCGCGTTAGGCGGTCCCTGATCTGACTCTTCGGGCCCTTTCAGACAGCAGCCGTATCTTTCTCCAGTGGAGCCAGCACCAAAGGCCTGGATGGCGCGACCCCCATATCGGCAGTTCTACACAGAGGACGGTCTAGCACCCAGCTATGTTACTGGGGAGTATCACACATGCAGGCTGTGCTCAGGAGTCAAAATGGGCTGGTGACATGCAAAGCAAACACCTTAACCCCTGTACTCGCTCTCCGGCCCCTAGAGTCAGGGGCCGTGTGTGAGTCAGAGGCCCCTGTGGGCTTCTGCAACTTGTGACAATGTGTTTTGAAAATAAATTTCTAAAGGAAAATTAATAAATTTCATTAGGGGCATGGTGGCGGGAGGGTCTTGGACACGGTGGTGGTGGTGATGTAACTATGTACACCAAGCCTATAAATGTCAACACTGGTATAAACACATTCATCATAATGAATTACAAATGAAAAATGAATTTATGACTTGGTTTGATGTGTCGACCTATTTTTCATACCTATCGACCCTGGATCACATTCAAATTTCTTCAAGCGATAGTACTGCGGGTAGGGTGCTTGCCTTGTATGCAGGTTTGATCCCCAGCATCCCACCAGGAATGATCCCTGAGTGTGGAGCCAGGAGTAAGCCCTGAGCACTGCTGGGTGTGGCCCCCTACAAAATATTTTTCTTCTTGGGCAAAAAAGGAGCTGCAAATGGGAAATAACCCCTTGGGTTTAGGCCCTGGGGGTTGGAGAAATAGTATAGCTGATAGGATGCTTGCCTTACACGTGGCTTACCTGGGATTCAATCCCCAGCATCCCAGATGGTACCCCGGAGCACTGCCAGGAGTGATTCCTGAGTACAGAGCCAGGAGTAACCCCTGAGCATCACCGGGTGAACCTCAAAAACTTAAAAAGCAGCTCAAGATACAGTAGTGGAAGTAGGCAGGGCACTTGCTCCATTCAGTTCCCAATCGGACAGGATCCCTTGAGCACTGTCCAGGGGTCACTTGTGAGCACAGAGCCCAGCCCAGCCCTGCGCCCAGCTGCGAGTGGGCCCGGCCACTTCCTGACACGGATTATTAACTAAGCCCCGTGTCCTGCCTTCCGCCTCGGGGCTAGTCACTTCCTGGCCGGGCGCTGCTCAGCAGCGCACCCCACCTCCCCAGACTCGGTTTCCCTGCTGGAAAAGGGGCGTGAGGCTCACTGGTGCAGGCGCTGTCGGCCGAGTCGGAGTCTGCGCGGTAGAAGTTGTTGTGGCAGAGGCAGAGGCCGGCGGCGGGCGTGGTGGTGCGGCTGTTGGGCGGGCAGGGCAGACACGGGCCCTCGCCCTGCTTGGCCTTGTAGCTCCCGGGGGGACAGGCTGCAGGAGGGGAGGAAGGACACGCTCAGCCCGGCCCCGCGTGAGAGCCCCAGAACCCCTGCGCCTCCATGGAATCTAGCCCTTCCTTCCCTGCCTGGCGGGACCCTCCAGCTCCCGGACCCCGGGGAGGGGCGCAGGGGGCCCCGCGGGAACGACCTAACCTCAGCAGCAGCCACGACAGGCCTCTCGCCCCACGGAAGGCTCACGTCAGCAGATTCCGCCCTGGCCCTGTCCCCCCACCCCAGGGCCTCCTGGACAAAGATGAAGACGTCAGCTCCATCACCGGGGCTTGTCGGGGCAAGGCAGGGATGGGGGTGGGGGGCAGTCCCCATGCCGGGCAGGGATGCTCCCCCTCCTCCCTGCAGCCCTGGGAGCTCTCCCCTGGGGTCCCTCAGGACAGGGGGCAGGGGCTGAAGGCAGAGGCGAGGGAGAGAGCAGGCAGGAAGGCTGGGGTCACCTGGAGGTCAGAGGCTCTGTGCCTCCACCAAGGACCCCCAGGACTTCTCTTCTCCAGCTCCCCTCAGCTTGGTCCCACCCCCATGACTCCCGTGGCCTCTGGTTTTTGACCCAAACTTGAATGACGTTTTCAAGTTGGTTTTGGTGGTGGTGGAGGGCTGTGGCATAAGGTAGTTGGGGTCACACATAAGGTAGTTGGTGCTCAGGGCTCACTCCTGGCTCTGCACTCAGGAATCAGTGCTAGCAGGCTTGGGGGACCAAATGGGATGCCAGGGATGCAACCCGGGTCGGTTAAGGCAAGTCCCTACCCGCTATCCTATCCAGCCCCAGAACACAAGTATTTTAAGAGCCAATGGGGTGGCTTCCAGTACTGAGAAAGGTGCATACACCCTGGGCCCTGCGTGGGTGGGGCAGGTCCTCTGGGTGGGGGAGGGGGCTAACTCCCCTCCCTAAGGTGCAGTTCCAGCCTGGCTCTCTGCAGTGGGGGAGGGGGCAGAGGCCAGGCCTGCTGGTTGCTATGGGAACCAGCCTGCATTTCCTGCCAGGGCCCTGCAGAGTGTTAGGCCCTCTTCAGGCTGTCAGGCTCATCACCCCCCACCCCTTCTCCACTTGGGGAGAGGAAGTCTAGGGGCCGGGGGGCGCAGGACAGAGTGGAGAGGCCAGGCAAGGCCCTGCTCCTCTTCCCGTGTAGCAAGCCCCGGCCTCACCGCCAGGCTGCGGTGCCCGTGCCCACATGCCAGGGCTGCACCCCTGCGTGGCTGCGGCGAAGGGACAGCAGCTCCAGCACAGTCCGCGCTCCCCGCAAGCGGGCCTGGAGCTCAGGCCTGAGCCTCAGCCTCTTCATGGCAAAGGGGACACAGGCGGAGTCCAGCACCGGGTGGGCATGGGGGGCCCTGACTCTCAGAGAGTCTCGGCCGAGACAAGCTCCTCCCTGCATGCACGGATGCAGCCAGGAACAAATCACGCATCGAGCCTCACCTGGAGCCAGGCCTTGCTCTTGGGCGTCCCAGGCACCCATGCACGTCAGCCCTCCCCAGCCCTGCCCTGGTGCCCACGAGGCCCCCAAAGCAGGACAATGAGGAATCTCCTGGCCCCTGGTTTCTCAGGGGTGACTGGGCGTGAGCACTCGGGACTCTGGGGCTCCCTGACCCCTGTGCTCTGGGATTTCTAGTTCGGATTTGGTGGGTTGATGGGAAGTTAAGGTTTTGAGGTCTGTTCCATGTAAGCGCATGGAAACAGTGTTCCCAGTACCCACCCCCTGGCGGCCCCCCCAATCCAACCACATCCTACCAATCAGAAGCCCTCTCTCAGGAGCCCACACCCTCTGCCTCTTCCTTGGCAAACCACAGCCCCAAGTCAAAGGGCCAAGCACGTGCCCACAGCCCACGTGCCCCGGTAGGAGGCGTCCACAGCCCCACGTCCCTCCAGCTCTCAATGCCATCCAGTGCCACAAAGAGCAACCTGAGCACTGCTGTCACCCTCCTGGTCTGCCACCAGCGTACCTGGCATGCTGCCCGCCTGGCGAGGATCGCCCAGGCACGTCGCTCTCTTGCTAGTGCTCGCACTGTGTCCTCCCCCTGGCTCCCCCCGTGTCTGTCCTCCCAGTACCCTCACTACCACCACCTCATTGCTCCCTCGGTCCTAGTCCGGAGGTGGATACCTCCCTGACCCAGGGGCCAGAGAGGCCGCTGGTGGGCGTGGCATCAACCCGGCCCCTCCCCTTGCCCCGCCCCAGCCTCCCCGGCCCCGCCCCACTCACGGCGGCACTGGGACTCCTTGGCGGCTGGCTCGTGGCCGGTGGCACAGGTGCAGGTGCCCACGGGCACCATCCACTCCCCGTCGCCGTTGCAGTAGAGCTTGAGGGGCACGGACACCTCCACGGCGTTGGGGATGCAGGTGCCGGGGGCGATGACGAGCGAGGTGGGCTCGGAGCCCGTGAGGGTCTCGGGGAAGAGCGCGAAGCCCGCCGTGGTGGACGCGCACTTCTTGTAGAAGGCGCGCACGGAGATGAGCGACATGCAGGCGCCCTGGTCCTGGAAGGCCAGGTAGAAGCCGGCCTTGGACAGCGGCCCGAAGCTGCGCACCTTGGTGTTGACCCGGCCCGTGTCCAGCCGCGAGAAGCTCTCGTCGGGCGCGATGGTGTCCACCTTCACGTAGGGGTTCTCCATCCAGAACGGGGACGAGGCAGAGGCCACGTCGCCATCGGCCTCATAGTAAAAGAGGTTGAAGGTCTCCTTGCAGGAGCCGGGGATGTTGGGGATGCTGTTGCAGTCCCGCACCGTGAACTTGAGCTCCACATAGACTCGCTGCACGTCCCGCCGCCAGATGAAGCCTGTGCGCAGCCAGTTGTTCTGGCTGGCCTCGTGCACGTTGCATACCTGGTAGGTGCGGATGGGGTTCATGGCCTCGTCGTAGCCGCTCACCTCTTCCCACTGTGTGGGGGGCAAAAGGGAGACAGACGGAGTGAGTCCCGCCGTCGGGTCTCCTGAGCACCGCTGGGAGTGATTCCTGAGCACAGAGCCAGGAGAACCTCCCCCCTGCCCCAACACTGCCAGGTGTGGTGCCAAGACAAAACAAAACAAAAAATTCCCCCAAGGTCAGGGAGATCGCTCACGTGTCTAGAGCACATGCTTTGTGTGCAGGAGGCCTGAGTTCAAATCTCAGTGCCCTTCACCTCTCTGTGCCTCCAAGAACAAAGACATGTCAAGACTGAGAACCGATCACCACAACACTGGGGGGGGGGGGGGGGGGGCGGGGCGTGGAGGCAAAGCAGACTGGAAGAGACAAGTGACACTGGCAGAGGGTAGAGGGGAACTTCGGTGGTAGTGGGGTGTGGTCCTTTTCACAGATGATGGTCACTGTCACTGTTCTCCCGTTGTTCATCGATTTGCTCGAGTGGGCCCAGTAACATCTCCATTGTGAGACTTGTTACTGTGTTTGGCATATCGAATATGTCACAGGGAGCTTGCCAGGCTTTGCCAGGGGGCGAGATACTCTCGGTAGCTTGCTGGGCTCTCCGAGAGGGGCGGGGGAATCGAACCCAGGTCTGCTGGGTCGGCTATGTGCAAGGCAAACGCCCTACCCATTGCGCTATTGCTCCATAGATGATGGTAACCTCAGAAATTCTATAATGAGATGAAGAATGAAGCCACATGCGGAGATGCGGTCTGCGGCAGAGCACTTGCCTCACAAGCTCTGGGTGCCATGCCCCATCCTGCTCTCCCCAAAGAAACAAAACCAGGCCGGAGCCATAGTACAGCAGGCAGGGCACTTGCCTTGCAAACGGCTGACCCAGGTTTGATCCCCGGCATCCCATCTGGTCTCCTGAGCACCGCCAGGAATGATTCCTGAGCACAGAGCCAGGAGAACTCCCTAAACACTCCCTGAAAGTTCCCCCAAGGTCAGGGAGATTGCTCACATGGCTTGGATACGTGTTCTGCGTGCAGGAGGCCTGGGTTCAAATCTCAGGCACTTATGCCTGCCCCCCCCGCCCCCCAACACACGCACAGCCAGGAACAATCCTAGGGCAATGCACCAGGAGAAATGCCCTGTAACCCAAAATCAAAACGAAAAGAAGAATTAGCCCAAGAGATAGTATAGGGGTTAAGGCATTTGCCTCCCGGGCAGCCAACCCGGTTCATTCTTCCCCATCACCTATGGTCCCCTATGCACTGCCAGGAGTGATCCTTGAACACAAAGCCAGAAGTGAGCCCCAAGCACAGCTGAGTGTGGCCCCAAAAGCAAAACGAACAAAACAAAAAAAGAATTAGGACTTTTAATGAACAAAGCACTGAGAACAAAGTACTTGCATAAGTACTCTCTGAGCAGTAATATTTACGTTCTCCATCTCTATTTCATTACCTGTAAAGTGGGGCTGACTGGAATTAAATGAGGCTGTGAGGAATTAAACCAGCTTAACATACACACCAGGCTTGTAAGTTTCCAATGCCTCCCGCCCATCGCTATGACCACCACACAAAAACTTGGCGGGGGGGTGGTGGTTGTCGGAGCGAGAGTATGGTGGGTAAGGTGCTTGCCTTGCATGCTGCCGACCTAGGCTCGATCCCGTACCCCCTCACCCCACGGTCCCTCAAGTCTACCAGGAATGATCCCTGAATACAGAGCCAGGAGTAGGTCCTGAGCACCAACAGGTGTGGCCCAAAAGCCAAACAAATAAATAAATAAACTGGGGGGACACGTCCATGAGGACCCTGCTCCTGGCTTTCCCACTCTAGTGAAGAGGAAGCTGTGGCCCACAAAAGGGAACTGCCCTGGTCACTGTCAGGCCTGGCTACCAAGGGACAAGCTCAGTATGGCCGGGACACTCTCCGAGAACTCTGGTGACAGGCCACCGCACAGTCCAGAAACAGGATCAGGAAAGGGAGCTCAGGGCTAGAGCAACAGCACCGTGGGCAGAGGGCTGGCCTGGCGCACACACACCTGATCCGGGTTCAGTCCCTCTCACCCCTAGGTCCCCCTGAGCCTGCCCGGAGTGACCCCTGAGGTGCACAGCCAGGAGTAAACCACCTGGTGAGGCCCAAGATCACCCTTCCCCACCCCCTCCCACCGCCCAAAGAGTGAACCACCTTGCTCAAGGTCACATATAACACATCAGAGGCGGGGAACCAAATTTCCCTGAGTTCCAGCCATGGGAGGAAGCAAGAGGGCAAGAATGGACGTCCCAGGGCTTCCAGGCAGGAGAGACGGGACAGGGGGGGCTGAGGTGTGACCATCCATGCAGAGCAGGACAAGGGAGGGCTTCAGGGAGAGAGAGAAACTCCGAGAGGAGGTGATCAACGACGCTGGGGCAGCCGCAGGAGGGGGGACAGACAGACGCACCCCCGTGTCCAGCTCCACTGTGGGGAGGGGCCAGGGCTCAGGTTCTTACCCCGCTCTCGGGATGAGCCGTCCATGCCAACTCAGACGTTACCCATTTGGTGTCCATGAGGGTCTCTAGAAAACAAAGAGGAAAGCAAAGTCAGAGGTGGAGCTCAGGATGGGGCCGAAAGAGGAAGTCAGCTAGGGAAGGCTCGGGCATGGGGGGCTGGGACCCCACGTGTCCCAGGGCGCCCCTGTCCCCAAAGACATCCGGATGCTACTGCCCCAGAGGGGAGAGAGGGCGGCTGGGGTGTCTGTTACAAGCCCCGTGGCTGCAGACAGGCACTCACTCAGGGCCTTTCCCCTGCAGCAAACAGTACACGAAGACCCCCAGTCTCCTGCGCATGCCCAAGCCCCCCCACGTAGACTCCCACCTCTAAGGCCCAGCCCCCCAGGCAGCAGGGCACAAAGTGGGATACACTGTCCAGCAGGGGCTGCCCAGGGGCCCCCACTCGACCGAGAAGGGAGAGCCACTCGCCCTCTGGGGAAGTAGGGTGGGGCCCTGGCACCCAGACCAGCTCCTGGACCGCTCGCCCCGTCTTCCCTGCCATGGTGGGGGGCTGGAACCCCACGTGTCCCCAGGTGCCCCGTCCCCTATTTCTGGAACACAGAGGAGGAAAACCGATGCCCAGGTAAAGTGAGTGTGTGGCTTAAGGAAGAAGTGCTGGGACTTGGCCAGGGGACAGCTTGGCGAGACAGCAGCTGTGTGAAGGCCCTGGGCTGGATCCCCTGCACACAGGCACACACACATGTACACACACACACACACACACACACACACACATTCTGAGGGTGACAGGCTGCAGGGCAGCTCAAATCCGTGTTCGACTCCACAACCAAGCCCTAACCGGGCACTCAGATGGCGACCATGCTTCTGTGAAGGGGAACTGGCCAGAGCCTGGGAAACCAGCAAAGTCCACATTGGGCAGCAGATACCCTCTCTAGGAAGCCTTCCCTGATCCCAACCAGTCAGGGTCGGAGGACTTCCTGTGTGCCTATGGGGCGGTCCGGGGCCTGGTCATGCTACTGACCCCGTGTCCGCCCTGACCCGAGCCCAGCCACTGGAAGGGCACCATCCCTCCCAGACATCAACCCCGTCTACAGGAGTTCCACTCCGACACCTCTGCTTCCGGACAAGGCGGCCCCCAAAATCAGACGTAGGGAGCAGAGAGGGGGAGAAGGGGGCAACCCCTCCACCCCAGGGCCTGGGAGATGGGGCGAGGTCAGCCCAGAACCTCAGCAGCAACAACGGGGCACCCGGGGGTGCCTGCCGGGGAAGCTGAGCCACACAGCTGCTAGTGGAGGCAAAGCGGGGAGGGGACGCGGCCACCCGCAGCTGGACTTAAGGATCGGGCTTCCCTCTCTCTCTCCCTTCCCTGCCCTGCAGGGCTGCAGGGGGAGGCTGTCAGGCCCCTCTGGTAGGCAGACAGACAGACAGACAGACATGGGCCTTGAAGGCGGGCACAGCAGGGAAGCCCAACAGGGGCCTGGGAGGGAAGCAGAGGCTGGGCGGCACTGAGCTGGACTATGTGCCTGGCCGGCCGGTCGGTTGGCTGGCCAGCACCACACAGCGGGGATGGCCAGCAGCCGACGACCAAAGCTGGACGATAGAGAGACAAGACAGCCCGAGGAGACAGAGACAGCAGCGAGCGCGGCTGCCAAGCGGCCTCATCCCGGGCCAGCAGCACAGACACCCAGCCCGGGAGCGCCGCGCGGCCGCCCCGGCCACAGGTCCGACTGTGCTGGCCACAGGTCCGGTTGTGCTGCCCGTGGGCCCGCGGCCGGAGCTCCCACGGCTCCCTCACGCCGCCTCCCTCCTCCTGCTCCCTCACTTCCTTCTGCTCTTCTGTGCCAAACCCATCTGGAACTGTTTAAACCCAAATATTCAGCCCCCTCCCCCTCCAGCCAGATTCCTCTACAGTTTAAAACAAGCCCTGAGCTGGCTCCGAGCAGAGGGAGGGAGGGGAGGGGAGGAGGGGGGAGGCCGGCGGGATGGGGGGGGGGGAACGACACGACTCTTCATTTCTGTTTAATTTCTGGGGAGCGAGAGAGGGAGGGAGGGAGCGAGGGAGGGAGGAGGAGATCAGCCCTTGGCCATCGCTCAATCTCGGCACATTTTTCCCATTAATGAGGAGGACTTGGATTTCGACTCATGTGCCGGAGGAAGGGCTCTGGTCACTGGTGGGGAGGGACCCGCTCTCAGTCCCCGCACGGCTCTGAGGGGGTGGGGGGGCTGCCCTTAGCAAGATGGACACCCAAAGGCCAAAGGTGCTCAGCCGCAGCCCCAGGAAAGACGGGCACGTTGTCTGTGGCCCTGGAGGGAGAGACCCAGTCCCAGAGGCCACCTTTTCTCGCTGTGTGTGGCTGTGCGTGTGTGTGTGCGTGTGTGCGCTCATATATGCACACGTATATGTGTGCCGGTGCGTGCATTCATGCTGGGGGAAAGGAAACAAGGCTCCAAAACAAAAGAGGAACGACTGACTGCCACGGCTGCCTCCGCACCCCGTCTCCTCGGCCTGCCGTGGGGCTGGTCCCAGCTGGATCTGAGGCTTCGTCAGGCAGGGAACCCCAGCAGGAACCCCAAGGCCAGCAGAGTGGGTTGTCTAGGACAGGGGCTTTCAGACCCAGAAGTGAGTGAAACAACTGTTTCAGGGTTCAAGGGGCCGTGGGGAATGGCCACATGACAGCAGCTGTGTGGCCCTCGTAGGGGGCACACACACAAACACTCACAGACACACACATGCATGTGTGCGCGCGCGCACACACACACACACACACACACACCACCTTCTCCCCAGCTGGGCGCCTTTCCTACCACTGGAGCCAAAGGGAGGCGACTCTATTCAGGGTGGGCAAAACACACAAAGCCGTAATCATCTGCAAATACACACACACACACACACACACACACACACACACACACAGTCTCTCCAGACACATGGATGCAGACGGTCCACCCTGATGAATCTCCCTCAGACATCCACACACAGGGAATATCTCTTTCCTACACGGATTCCACTCGCCTCCAGCAACGACGCACCCGTCCTCGCGTGTGTGAATTTCCCGAGACAGGGGCACCCACACAGAGCCTGCACCCAGCAGGGCTTTCTCCATACCCACCCCACGGCACCCTACTATCATCAGCACCACGTCAGTCCTGCGCACAGCCTCACCTCGCCTGACACACAGCCACATCAGCTGCACACACACAGATGTCCGCGCGCTCGGGCACGTGGGGCTGGTGGCTGCAGGCACAGAGGGAGCGTCCACGCCTTGAGTGTGCGTGGTCTCGGACTACACTCGTGTGCACCTACACACGCATGTGGCCGCACTCGTGCACACACGCATACACACACGCACATGCACAAACACACGCAAGTATGCGTGAACACACGTGCATACACTCGCACGTGCGTGCACACGCACATGCACACACACACACACGCACACACGCACACACACACAAACCCGGGATTCTATAAGCACGGGATCCTTCGAGGGGATAAGTCTTGCTGTGGGACGGGAGAGGACAGCGTCTAGTACCAAGTGGCCGCTAGGACAGTCACCGGGAAGAAGCAAACCCAGACAGGCATCCGGGGGCCCTGGCCGGGCTGGCCGGAGCTGTCACAGGACAGGAGGCTGGAGTGGGGCAGGGCCCTGGAGAAGATTCTGGGTGCGGCTGGGTGTGGCCTCCCGGCTGAGCTCCCAGCGGCAGGCCACTTTCCTGCCAGCACAGTGGCACTGTCACAAGGCCCCGAGCCCTTGGGCAGGGGCTGGCCCCAGGAGCACACTTCACTCCAGTGCTTCCGTGGGATTTCCACCTGAAGTGGGGGGCTGGGGAGGGGGGCCTGTCCAGGAGCCCCAAGGGAGCGCTGTCTCAGTCAGAGGGCCTGGCTGGGCAGCCACGGCCCCACACCCAGCCTGGGGAAGCAGCAGGGGCCCACGAGTTCATGGGGCCACCAACACTCAGCCACACTCCCGGGCCCATGCCACTCAGAGCACCCACCCTGGGAACAGGACAGGGAGGGCGGTCACGGGACTCCCGGGGTTTGGTCCAGGAGGACAGGGTCTAGGCGGAGAGAAGGGGTTGCCGGGAGCCCTGCCTGAGAAGAGGAAAGGGTGTCCACAGTGGTCGCTGCTCCCCCAGGGGGTCCCCTCGCTGGGTCCACCAGCCTTCTTGCGTAGGTCAAGGGTACACACACGTGGGCCAACTTGCCGGCTCTGGGCATGAGTAGCCATGGAAAGGGTTGGGGGGGGGGGTGCTTTACCCTGCCATGGGGCCTGGAGCATCTCACTTACCAGGACTCACTTCCCCTCCCAAGGTCCTCCGGATTGGGGGATTGGGGGCGGGGGTGGGGGCCAAGGGGTGCCGCTCAGAACAGAGACTGCATTTGGCACTGGGCGGTTCACTCTGTCCCTTGGAGCCAGAGGGTTTATCGGGAAATCAACTGGCAAGGCGGGAGAGGGAGGAAGCAGCGCAGACAGCCGCCCCCAAGGGGGCTCCTGGTGCCCATCCTGCAGGACCCCCCTCCCAGGCTGGATCCCCCCCCCCCCCCCGCCGGCAGCACCCATGGGCAGCTCCTCTCCCCTGGAATGTGGCCCTCGTGTGCTCCCTTGCGGGTCCTCCCGGGGGTCTGGGAGCAGTGGGGAGTGGGGAGGGGTGGGAGCCTGGGGGGGCTCTCGGGCTCCATCAGGTGCCCAGCTGTACCCCATCTCCCTCCCCCACCCCAGCCGCCTGATCCCGACAAACCAGTTTGACTCAGCACAACAGGCAGGGCTACAATTTTCCAACTATGCAGGGCTGGTGATTCAGCCTCTTCATGCTGTTTAATTAGTGGAAGGCCGGGTGGCGAGGCGGCCCTGGGCTTCAGCTCGCTGCCCGCGGAGGCCACTGTCAGCGGCCCTGGCTGCTCTGGCTCAGCGGAAGGCAGTGCCAAGCAAACTGGTTCCCTTCAATACTTGTGCCAGCTCACGACAAACACAAACGGGGCGGGGGCTGGGGGTGCTGGGGGTACCAGGGATGCCAGGGGCAATTCACACTGAGTGAGCCAGAGAAAGCCGGCCCCTGGGTTGCCACCTTGGAGAGGCCACAGGGGCTGTGTCAGAAGGACTCGCAGCTTTGGAGGCTGCACCCCCCACCTGCAGAAGGGGGGTACTGGAGGGGGCAGGGCCTCCCCTTAGGATCCGGTAACTGTTTCTTTCTCCAAAGGATTCCTGGCAGGCATCTCCCCCTCCTGTCTCAGAGAGAAAGCGCTAAGGTCCAGACACCCTGTCCCATCCCACACCCCATTCCTGGTCTGCTCACCCTACTGGACCCCATTCCTAGCCTGTTTGGCCCACTTCAGCACTCTGAAGGGGGAAGGGGCCCTGGTGGAGGGGACAGGGGCACAAGCCCTGGAGAGTCCTGTTTGCCGGTAGTCAAGGGAAAACCCAGAGCAATTGGTGGGCTGGGCTGGGACAGAGAATCAAACTGAGGGGCAAAGCACAGGGGATTCTTAAAACAAGGGTCCGGCTCTGTCCAAGAGGACCAAGGAGAGGGGCGGACTGGGCCTTGGTGACCCCCACGTGTATGGAGAGGGAAGAATGCTCAGGTGTCCCTGAGGGTCCATGCAGGGCAGCGCACATGGCTTGGGGCCCCCCAAAGCCAAGGATGTGGAGGCAAACCCAACCAGGGCCTGACCAGGTGGAAGGCAGGAACACGGAAGCTGGGTCCCCCTGATATAAATCAAGCTGGGGGACTGAGGGACGGGCACAGGGTCCTCTGACCTCAGTGCTGCAGCTCCAGGACCGTGCGCGGCACCCTTCAAAACTCCAGGACAGGGGTCCCCTCCCACACCTCAGAGGGAGGAATTGAGGGACCCTCTCCTCCCCCCTCCCCTAGGAGCAGGGTCTGGGAACACCAGTCCCAACCCCCAACCCCCGAGTAACAATGCCCCTATGTACAGCCCTTCACTCCTCCTGACCATCCAAAGCTCATAAGTGCAGAGCTGGGGGCTCAGCTCTGGAGAGGGGGACCCAGGGCCTTACGGGGAGGGGTGGGGGAGGAAACAGGGAGGTCCTGGGGCAGAGGCCGGCACCGGGAAGCGACTCTCTCCCCTTCCCTTCTCAGGCACATGCACTGGAGATGGGCACCCCACACTGGCCCCGACCCACACTTCACTTCACAGCTGAGCAGGAAGGAGCAGGGGATTAGAGGGAGGGGACAATGGCTTGCTGGCCTCTCTCCTGGGGGAGGGGGTCAGCACCCCGCGCTCCTCAGAGGCCGCCTGATGGCAGCCAGCAGCCTGAAGGGTAAAGAGAAGAAAGACACTGGAGGAGGGAGAAAGTGAGGGGATGTACCCCAGCGTCCCACGCGGGTAGCCCGGCTCACTGACCCAGAGGGCCCTCGCCAGCACTAGGAACACACACCCGCACCCCCAACCAAGGGCTCCACCTCCCCCCCAGCCTGTCCCACGCGCAGCACCCCACCCCACCCCCAGCGCTGGTGTCGACCTGGGAATTCCAGCCCTGCGCTGGGCTGACACCCCGAGGCAGCAACAACAAAGCCCCGCACAGCTTTCTCACGCCTGCGATGCTATCGCGGCAGGTGGGGGAGTGCGCCCGAGTGTGGGCGCGACCTCGGGGTGTCTGTCTGCGTTTGCGTGTGTCCACCCGTGTGAATCGGTCTGTCAGCGCCAGTGGGCCGGGCGGCGAGGGCTCTCTGAGGGCCCTTCGGGGTTCCAGCTCCCGGAGGAAAATGCGAAAGCACCCGCACGCCTGTCTCTGGCCCCGCGGTTGGTCCCTTTGCCCGCCAACCTTTAAGTTTACCCACCGCCGCGCGCGCGCGCGCGCGGGGACACGGGAGCCATCCAAGTTGCGCAGAACCCAACCCGGGCTTTTGTTCCCAAACTGAGCCTGCGGACCCGGCGGCTTAGAGACTCGGAGAATTAACTACTGCCCACACCCCCGATTTCTCCCCCGTCTCCTGAGCTCTCCATCCCTCTCCACGCAGGGAGCTGCCTCTCTCTCCTCTCACCCAACTGCTCCGAAATTCCTGGAAACTGTTCGCGTGTCTATTGTTTGTGACCAAAGTCGTGCCGCTCTGCTCCCCAACGCAGGCTGTGCGCCCAGCGGCCCCTCCGCTGCCCACCCCAGTCCCGTGCTTTGGGAAGTTGGGGCGACCCCCGCTCCCCCGCCCCAAGCACACAGCACTGACAGGTTTCCCAGCGCGCGCCCGCGGAGGGCTTGCCCACTAGAAGCATAAAGCACCGGGCTGGGGGTTCGGCGTTCCCCGGGGCAATCCCCACAACTTCAGGGGCGCAGCGGGGACTCGCGCACTCGGGGTGTCCTGCTAGCCAACGGAGGGGGTGACCGCAGCCGGGCATGCACCTCGCGTGCGGTTGGCGCTGGGGAAACCATAAACAATAACAGCCCCCGCCTCTCCACCCCCGCCACCGGTCCGCCGACAAAGCGGGGTGCCGGCTCTCACCCTCGCGGTGGACTCCGGCGGGGGCGCCCGCCCCACGCCGCGCCGGCCCCCCGCACCCGCCGACGGCCCCCCGCCCGGCCTCGCCCGGCCGTGCCGGGCGGCCCCGGGCTCGTCGGCGCGGGGCCCCCGCTCGCTCGGCGCGGACACCCCCGCGGCAGCTCGCGGCGCGCGGGCGCGACTGCCCCGGCCGCTCCCGCCGCCCCACGCTGCCCGGCGACCCCCGGGGTGGCCCGGCGCGCCCCTCCCGCACCCTCCCGCGCCCCGCGGACGCGCCCCCGGGGCCACTCACCTTCCAGCGCGCGGCAGCCGGCGGGCAGCAGCAGCGGGAGCAGCAGCAGCGGCGGGAGCAGCGGCGGCGGCGGCGGCAGCGGCGGGCGGGCTCGGGCCATGGCCGAGCCGCGGGCTCCGGGAGCCGGGCCGGGCCGGGCCGCGCCGGGCCGGGCCGCGCCGGCGGGGCTGCGCGCGGTGGCGCGGACTCGGGTCGGCCCGGCGGGCTCCGACGGAGGCGCGCGCGCGGCCCCCGGGGCTCCGCGCGGCGAGGGGTCGATCCAGGCGGGCGGCTCCCGGGGCCGGGCGAGGCCGGCGGCGGACGCGGGCAGGTCGGTCCGGCGGGAATCTGGACGGACCGGTCCCGGAGGATCGCGGGCGCCGGGAGGACGGGCGCGGGGCGGGCGCACGCGGGCACGGGGAGCGCGAGCTGTCGTCGGCGGCTGGCGGGGCGGGAGGCGATCAGAGCGAGCCGGCTCGCACCCGAGGCTCGGCCGCGCGCGCCCCGTCCGAGCTCCGAGCCGGGTCTCGGCGGCGCCGCTCACGTACTCACTTGTGCTGGCCGCGGCGCCCGAGCGGCCGCTCTGGGCAGGAGGGGCGGCCCCGCGCGCCTGTCCTTCAGCGCGGCCGCCCCGCCCCCCGCGGCCGCCCGCCCACTCGCCGCGCGCCAGGAGAGAGGGCCCCGCCCCCCAGACCACTTCGCGGGCGCTCAGTGGGCGGCGCCGCCCTTGGGCCCGCCCCCCGGGGCGTCGGGGCCCGCGGCGGGCGGGGACCGGGAAAAGATGAATTAGACGGGGCGGGGCCAGGCTGTCCGTCCCCGGGCGAGTCCCGCCCCCGGCGGAGGCGTCCGACGGGTACCGCGAGCTGGAGGCGCCCCCCGGTGGCCTGCGCGTCGCTCGCCACGTCCCCACGTGTCCCTCCTTTCTCTGGACACCTGCAGATGCGCCCCGTGGGGGGCGAAACCTATTGCTGCGAGCAGGCTCTTTGGACTCATTCGTGCATTCGTGCAGGTGTTCGTGTGTTTGAGCACCTACCGTTGACCAGTGACTGTCTGAGCTGCAGCCAGCAATGAGCGAGACGGGCTTGTGTTCAGTTGGCGCCTAATGGTGCTGGAACCAGCGTTGTCGTGTAGGAAGGAGAGAGTTGCCGCCAGGCGTGAGTGGGGAATGGCTAGGTCCAGTCCCGAGGAAATGCCATAAAAGCTGAAATACGGGTAGCAGGTGAAGGAGGTGTTTGGTGGAGGGCTACACTAGGCAGAAGCAGGTGGACTTTGTGGAAAGTCCCAGAGGCAAGAGCAACTGAATTTCCTTGGGGAAATCTGGACGTTCAGATTTTCCTTTCTTTCTGCTCCTCCTCCTCTTCCTCCTTTATTTGGAGGAAGGGAATCACACCTAGCAGTGCTCAGGGATCATTCCTGGCTCTGTGCTCAGGGGTCTTTGGGGGAGGGATAAATAAATCTATATATAAATTTGCTTATATTATATATATGTTTTTTGCAGGGGATTGAACTTGGTCAGCCACATGCAAGGCAAGCATCCTACTCACTTTCATAATTCTCCAGCCTCTTGAGATGGAAGATTCTTAAGTGTTGAGTAAGAGGCCGAGGTGAACTTCTGGGAAGTTTGGAAATAAAAATAGGTTTTTCAGCTTGGTTTTGTTTTGTGCCACACCCCTTAGTGCTCAGGGCTTACTCCTGCATTCGGGGATCAATCCTGGAGGGGCTCAGGGGATTATATATATATATGGCGCTGGGTATTGAACCTAGGTAAACTGCATGCAAGGCTGTACTATCTCTCCAGCCCTTGAAATGAATTTTATTAGATTCCTAAGAACTTCCTGAGAAGACCTAGAGTTTGAAGCAGACATTACCTTAAAGATTAGCATGCCTGCTCTTGAGAGGAGAAATGGATGGAGGATAAAAAGGGTGGAAGTGGGGATATGGGAGAATCTGAGTGATTGGTGGAAGATGGTGGTGTGGACTATGGGGGTAAATGTGGGCATGGTAAAATGGGCAGAGTATGGATGCTTTAGGAGGCAGAGTTCAGGAAACTGGTGATTACCTGGCTGAGAGATATCTGGTAGAGATGTCAAAGGGACCTCAGGTTCCTGTTTGAGCAAGTGGGGTTTTTGTTCCATTTTCTCAACAAACATTTACAGAACATGATAAGCATGAAAGCAATAGGTTTCTTTGTATGGGAGCTGTTACAGTAACCACAGTTGTGTCTGTAGACACAACTGACAGCTGGAAGGGTTAGTGGCCGGTCCCAAGTCACAGTCTTAATAAGTGTCAGAGCTGAGATTTGAACTTAGAACTGTATAGCTTCTATTTTATTTAAAGAACTTTATTTTATTGTGCTGAAATTGAACCCAGGTTTCATACATGCCAAGCATGGGTTCTCCCACTGGCTCTTGCATTGTGTTTAGACTCACTCATTCCTCTTCTTTACAGATCTGAGGATCATCATTGTACTTGTTAAAATTTCAAAATCCTGGTGTCAGGGATGTAGCTCCGCAGTAGAGCACTTGCCTGGCATGTATGAGACTCTAGGTCCAGTTCCTGATATCACAAAAATGAACGAACAAACAAACCAAACCCTCAGAATCCCGAGTCCCCAACAAGACCCTCAGAACCCTCAGTCCCCTGGTTCTTGGACTCAGAATCTGTAGTGTATAGGACCCAAGAATCTCCACTGACAAGGCATGTTCCAGGTGATTCTGCTGTGAGACTGATTCTGACTGAGACTCACTTTCGCCAACTAGAGAGGGTGCTGGAAAAACAGCCCCCCACAGTCCTTGGGAAGCCCCTCAGGAGATCCCTCCCAAGATTTCTGGGAGTGCAGAGTAACAGATGAGATTCCAGGTGACAGGGATCGACATAGTACAGCAGGGAAGGTGCTTGCCTTGTAGTGCATATCGTCCTGGCCCCACACAGCACCCCTGAGCACCACCAGGAGTGATCCCTGAGCACAGCCAAACCCTGAACACTGCCGAGTCTGACCCAAAGGACCAAACCAAAACCACAATGAAAACAGGCTCCAAGTGACCTCCAGAACCAGAGGGTCACATTTGAGCCCTCTGACCAGGAAGTACCGCACAGTTCTGAAGTTCCTTACCACAGGGGTTAAGGCGCTTACCTTGCCTGTGGTTGACCTGAGTTTGATCTCCAGCATCATATGTCCCCTAAGATCTCCCAGGAGTGAGCCTCCACCCTCAAGCTCAAAGCTGGGAGTAACGACCAAGTACTAGACCCTGAGCAAGACAGGATGTGACCCAAACCATTCCCCTTTCTAATAAAAATTAAAATTAAGTTTTCTGAAGATTCAGTCAGCAGAAGTTAATTCAATGCAGTATAGTAGGTTGGGCATTTGCCTGGCATGCAGCCAACCCTGGTTTGATCCAGCACCCCATACGGTCCCCTGAGCCCTGCCAGGAGGGATCACTGAGCACAGAGCCAGGAGTAAACCCTGAGCACTGCCTGGTTTGGCCCCAAAACCGAACACACACACACACACACACATGCACACACATCAACATTGTCAAGAATTCAGGGTGTTTCTCGGGCGAAGAGGGGTGGCAAGTGGACCAAGTTTGAGCAGCCCTGGTCCAGGCGACAGCAGGATCTTGGAACTCATGGTTCCTCTCTCCCATTGCAGCCCGGAAAGCCAGAGCCCGAGTAGATCTGCTGACTCTGCAGCTCCCTTCCCTGGGGTGCTGGTTGGAGCTGGGTTGGGGGATCACATTTTGGGCGGGTAGCCAGGCTGCACAGCTTCCAGCTGAAATTCTGGTCGTTGTAAGGCGGATCTGTGGCTGGCACTCCTGTTTGTTCGGCATCTATGCCAGCCGAGGCCTCGCCCTGGACAAACACATACGGCAGTCACTGCGAGCCTTTGTTCCTGCACCCCCATATAAAGGCAGTGTGGAGAGCAGGGCCCCATCCTAACCGGAGGCTGGCACCATGGTTCTCACAGGATTGCTTCCCGATCTAGAGGCTGGCAGAGTGACGGGGCACCTGACACAGGTGACTCCAGTCTGGGGCAGAAAAGTGACCTGCCCCCCCCCCACCCCGGGCAACAGAGCAGGGGAATCAGGAGCAGGGGTGACCAAATAAGGAAACTGGGACACCCCCCCCCCCGACACCTTCCCTCCCCCCAACGCACACACACTCTTTGCTTCCGGACCAAGTGAGTAGAAAGTCACCAACGCAGTCAGCAGGGTCAATTTAAGCAGGGAAAAGATCAAGGCAGGCGCCTCTCTCCGAGCCCATCATCTTTAACCCATGGGGCTGGGAGGAAGCACATTGTTGAAGCAAGAGTTTGGGCTTTGGCACCAGAGAGGACCGAGTCCAAATCCTGGCACAGCCACTGACCAGCTGGGGGACTAATGATAAGAAGCTGAACCTTTCTGTGTCCAAGAGTCCCCAAGAAGGGGAATGGGATGGAACTAAACTTCCCTACAGAGGTATTATTAGGATGCTCAGGCCACGGGGCCCTGGAGCTCTGCAATTGACCAATAAATGGTCCCAGTGATAATAGATGTCCAGTCCCCAGAACGCATCTGAGAACCCTGGCAGTTTGGGGATGACTAGAGGAATGTGTCTGAATTCATTCGGGGCTTACTGTCCCTCTGTGAACAACTTTGGATTTTTCTTTAAAAGGATCATAGGTTCGTGGCGTTTTTGGTTGGGGATACCTCAAGAAAGACAAAACTGGAATAAGAGAGTTTTGAGGCAGTCAGTGCTGGGTTTGGTGGGATGAGTTCTTTGGGGCTTTGGGCAGAGGCTAGGGTGGAGGCAAGGAAACCCCAGTGAGGATCCCACAGAAAAAGCTCGCTGCTGGTGAGGGGTCTCCCAGGAGGTGGTTTTGTAGTGCAAAGCACCTTTCTTGCAAACACAAAGTAGTGAGTTCGATCCCCAGTGCCACCCACATGTTCCCAGCCCCTGGAGGTGCTCCTGACCCCGGCCCAGCAATGAGCTCTGGCCCATGGGAGCTGGGTGAGTATGAGCTCTGCCCCTACGATGTGAGCACCTAAGCCACATCCAGCGAGCACTAGCATTAAATGAGTGCAATCCCTAAAGAGAGGCCATGCAAGAAACTCACCAGAAATGTGCAGTCCTCACTCACCGAAAATGTGTGGTCCCCGGCAAGCACCA